GAATTATTTTTATTTTATAACGTAGCACTTACGTCTCTCAGTTTCAACTCAAGAGGTCCATTTTTGAAAGTATGCGGTCAGAAAAGTCAATAGGCAGCATGAACATCTGTGGTTACAATGTTAAGCCAAATATCTCCCTTTTCTTTTCCTTCTTTAGGCTAAGTCGCCTTGGGCGTCGTGCGAAAGCATTTGGCAGACAACTCCTGATGGCTTTTACATTATTAATGACTGGGCCTGCGAGGAATTTGAAGAATTTCTTCGAAAGATTGACACCGCTGACGCCAAGCAAGTCAGTCCTGAGGAGGCAAAATTCTTGGCTCAGTGCATAGATGAACGTTGGGATGGCGAGTACGCCCAATATGCTGAAGACCCCGTTCATGTCAAAGATACAAACGGCCATAATCTCAAGGAAACTCAAACTTCCTTTTACCTGAATCTCGTCAACAAAGCGTGGATGGCCTCTACCGCTGGAGGTAAGGACTTCTATCTTCCAAGAGACCTCTTCGTGAAGAGTGAATGCGTTTATCAGCTTCTTGAGAATCATGTTAGGTACGTCGCAGCAGATTTAAAGAGTCCTTCTTTCATAACAACTCTACGAATTCGAGAAAACATAGGCGTGGATGGACTGATAAAGGAGATAAAGAGGTGGGCAGGTGGTTGCAGTGAGAAAATGGATGGAAATCAACGAAAGGAGTTTACTACTTCTGTTTCGCACATGAGCAAAGTCTACTCTTTTCTTTTCACGAAGATGAAAGAGAGTAGGAAAGAAGAGATGAAAATACAAGAGGCATTTTTGAAGTCTGAGATGATTTTTGTCCCACATCAACCTTCCAGTCAGCCTCAGTCAACACGCCAATCACCTGGATCTTTTTATTTGAACAAAGAAGTTTGCTGGAGAGATCCGACAGATGTCTTGTTGAGGCTTTTTAAAGAACAAGGCAAGATGACCACAAGGCACCTACTGGAAAGGTTCTACGGAAGCAAAAGTAGCCAGGAAAGTCTTGCAACCTTTTTTGTTGATCTTATCCGTGTCGACGAGACACCTAATGTGGGTGAGTACATCGAAATGGCTTCGACTGTTGCTGAAGGTTCTCGTTTTCCCTCTCCTTCGTCTTTGAGCGATATATTGAAAATCTTTGCAACCTTGGGAAAAAAATGTGTCAGACGCGACCACAATAACAGCTTACGACCTGATCAACAAATCGACGAAACTATGGCTACCTTTTTGGAAAGATCCTTACATGACGAACAAGTACGCATTTTTCCTACAACAGATAAATGGGTTGCACTTTCTGACAAGCCACTTATAGCCGACGATAGAAGTCTTTTCAAGATTTTCCAGAAGGAAAAAAAGGTCCACTTTCTTGACTTCGGAGATTTCTTTCAACCTCAGAAGCGTGGATCATTCAAACATGGGCCTCCAGACGAACACGAGTTAAGGAAGCACTATGTTTCCTTGTTCTTGAAGACCTGTAAAGTAACAAAGTTGAGTGAATGTCTCTAGAAAGAGTTTACTCCAGGCGGTGCCGTTCAATACCAGTGCTTTCCCGTCCAGAAGTACTTCTACCAACTCATGCCATGTGTGCAACGTTTCCTATACTCTAGGTATCAATCGGAGTACAATGAACTGAGCCATCAAGGATTTTCACAGAAACTGCCGCAGATGCAATTTGCTTCCGTCCCAAGTTTGGCAACAGTTTATTCGTTGACCACACATCCTGACGTTCCTGTTTCCCTTGAAGAACGATCTGGCGTACAAGAAGCAGGGGGTGTATACTGTCTTTACGTCGTTCAAGACTATCAGGATAATTTAGAAGTGTTAAATGCCGAAATGATAAAACTTTTGTTTGGAGGGAAAAAGCAGGGTGCTTCAGACCTTAGCAACTTTTTGGTTGCAGTGAAAAATTACAGTGGGGATGATCTTGACAGCTACTTGGAAGATGAACAGTACTTGGAGCCTTTACCGCAAGACGAAGAACGGTGGAGCGTTCCACCTCCCGAGGAACCCAAAATTGTTGAGGATGATGATCAAGAGGCTGTGACTGAAGCCGTTCTTTTTCACAAGGAAACCACCACCCCGTCCAGGTCAGGCGACGATGGTCTTCATTCCTGGCCACCAAAATCGTCCGCTCAATACGATAAGGCATACAAACGTGAAGGGGATCCTGGTACTGAACCCACTGTAAAGATGTGGCCCTTGCCGGAGCCTCCTGAAACTGTGGAGAAACCTCCTAGAGAAGAGAATCGTGATGAGTTGATCCAAAGACCTACCCTACATGATATAAACACCAGAAGAGCGCCTGAGGACATGTCGGAAAAGCCCCTGAGCGGAGACCATAGGAAACCGGTGCAGGATAATCCTGTTACAATCGTTCCTGGGCAACAACGCACTAAAAATGATGTACAGCAAACACCTGAGGTAAGCGTTGTAGATGCTATGGTGAAGGACCCGCAGATGAGTGCTCGTGAAACAGCAAGCGATTTGTGTCCCAATGAAAATGAAAGCCGTCAACACAATGCAAAGCTTGTGGAATCCCCTCCACCCCAAGTGCATATACCACCTCAAGTACCTATACCCGGGGAGCTGTCTCTCGTAACCATTCCTGGAGATGTAGCGAGGCAAACCTCTCCGAGCCGCTCATACCTCTGGTTTGATGGAGGTCCTTCTGAAGTTGACTTCGAAGATCTTCAATTCAGTGCTGATCAGAGGATCTTGGAGCGGATCCCGTTGGTGGATAACCCAAACAAAGACGACATTGGTCGTTGGGGAGAGCAGTGTGTGTTTGAGTTTCTCCAAGAGCAAGCACGGGGCCAACCTCCTGGTTCGTTTGAAATTGTCTGGATGAACGAAAAAGGGAACACAACTGCGCCCTACGACATTGAGATTCGACAACATATCCCAGGTGCTGGAGAAAGTGACAGACGCACTGTAAGAACGTTCGTCGAAGTGAAGACCACGTCCTCAGATCAAAAGGACATTTTTGAGCTGTCGGTTCCGGAACTTCAATTCGCATGGGAACACGAAGTCGCCTTTCACCTATATCGTGTCTTCAATGCGGGCAAACCTGCTAATGTCCGAATTCGCCGTTTGCAAAATCTTGCCGTCCACTTAGAGAAGAAGACTGTAAAACTGTGTATGGTCATCTGACGATTGTGGGCGTAAAGATATTAGCGTGTGACGAAGTTGAGATGATGCGGTTTTGGCGGTATATTTGAAAATCATTGTGCGGAAAAAGAAATTGCTGAATGATGTGGAAAGAAAATTAGATTTTAAATTACGTAGTGAACAGTCAATTGGGGAATTGGAATCGACGTTTTTACAAACAGAATGTGCATTCGATTTTTTAATTCGCTCTGAGTGAAAACTTTTAGCTGACTTGAAAGATATTAGCATGTATCAAAGTTGAGATGATGCAGTTTTGGTGGTATATTTGAAAATCATTGCGCGGAAAAAGAAATTTGCTGAATGGTCTGGGAGGAAAATCAGAATTTAAATTATGTAGTGAAAAGTGAATTAGGGATTTGGAATCTTGACGTTTTTACAAACAGTATGTGCATTCGATTTTTTTAAAATTGGTATTTATATTTCCTATTTAAGTTGAGTTATAGTTGTATTAGATGTTATAAGTTTTTCAATGTCTTTTAATTTTTTATCCTTTCCCTCTTTCTGCATGGTTTAATGGAGAATTATTGTAAACTTTTGAATTAATGTCGACTTTGAATAACTTGCTTAAAATGTGTGATCAAGAAAGAAAGGTGAAGATCAGTTGACTAACAATAACAAAGAACAATGAAAAAACGACCCAACAGAAAATTATGCCAAGAAAACAACAAAAAAGCCAGCTGACCTCAAACCCGTTCTATGTGGCGTTGCATTTTCCAAGTTGTTTCTTTTCAGAAAAAGTCGGCTGTAAATTGTGGTCAATCCACTGTTGTACCACTGTAATCTAAATTTTTAACAGACTGTACATTCTATTCATTTGCTTTTAATCTCTTAATAAGGCTCAAAACATATATCCGATATTTTTGCAATTGTAACTATTCCTCCACAAGGGACAAGCCTTATAAAAAAGGAGTCAACAACTCGAATTGTTTTAGAGCAGCTTTGATGTATAAATTTGTTGCGTAGTCGTCTTGATAATGAAGAATAAAATACAGTTTAACTGTTACCAGGTCTCCTTGTATACATATGAGGGCTAAAGTCATTCCATCCAAATGATTAAGAAGGAGAGGAAAAATTGCAGCTTTGATTTAGTTATGCAAACCCACAGAAATAGAAACTGGATTTCCGACAAAAACCCTGAAGCCAGCAAGATGTTCTGAAACATGTCAAACAACAATGAATTGTTGCATTGTCATTTTGAGTATTTTGAAATACTAATTACCTTGTATTTGAGTGTCAGAGCCTTTTAAACCTCCAAATTCTTTAGAAGTGATCGTCATCAAACTTTCCCATGTGCTGAGTACGAGAGCGACCTTTCCAGTTATGAACACTACTCAAGCAGTAGTAAAAATAGGGCCTGAAAAAATTCAGGTCTGTACGGAATTCGAACCCATGAGCTCTGCGATACCGGTGCAATGCATTTCACATATATGATTTTCATATGTTTACAAACGTTTCCCAAGTGCAACAGTAAGAGATCGCCGAATGAGACAAACTGGAATTGGCAAAAAATATCAAATAAAGACGGATATGCTAATTTCCAATACACTACTGCAACAAGTTTTCAGAACCAGACACCTGAGTATACTGCGACTGTTAAAGAGAATTGAAGGTTTCTCTGACAGACGCTTCAGTAAGCAAAATTCAAAAGGCATGCGGCATTTTCTTTATTCCTTTGTTTTCTCTTTAAGTGCAGTTATCAAATTATTCTAGTCGGATGAATAAAATGATTAATTCAATACTAATTGTCACTGGCGATAATAATCAACACAAAATATCTTATTAGGTTATTCCCCATGAAAGCGTGACTATTGCCAAACTATATATATATATATATTTCCTTTTTAGAATCGAAAGCAAGGTGTGTTCGTTAAGATGTCAACTATAGGCATTGCCATTTCTTTAATTGTCGATACGAAGAATAATTAAACGTATCCAGTCAGCTTTCTACTGAAGATTGTTTTACTGACCAAGTCCAATATGTTCGGCTGGTGTTCTTTCCATCTTTTTGCTTAATATCTGTTCCCCTCTATTTGGACTTCTTTTGTCCTATTTATGACAATTATCATTATCTCTTAATGTTTTTATAATCCTTCTCCTCTATATTTATCGCTGTCTTAGAAAGTCCAATGATACCTTCAAAATGAGGCGTAAACGACTAAAGACCACAAAAAAAAAAAAACCGCATATCCACAGTGAAGGTTTTTTTTTTGTACTCTCATGGACTGGTTATAATCACATTCTGCCGCCCTTTGTTTGCTTCCAACCCTTGAAAGGTACCATTATGTAGTTGCTGCATTTTGATAAAGCTAGCCTATTCTTCTAAGGTTTGTCATTCGTATCTGCGATTATCTTATCCAACCGAATAATGTATGTGCCGCGTATCTAGTTACTAGTCCCTTGTTCCTACGAAATTATAATTTCAAGAGTTCGTGTTACCTGAGAGTGGTTCTCTGCGTCTCAAAACTAGTTTGAATATTCTAACACAGTTCCTTTCAAATGAATAAAAGCTTAAACGATTATGTAGATTAACGCGAAAGGAGCCGTGCTCGGTTTGAATTGTCAGAATCTATCTATTGTCTGAAGAAGCATTAGGGCCGTTGCATCGAGGTTTTGACTAAAAATTTACATACCTTACCAGATTTCGTCACAACTTCAACCTTTTCAACATTTCGATATTAAAAGTTAGAAAATATATTCAGAACACAGGCATGTTTCATGATCTGAACTGGTCCGTTGACCTAAAGATATGAGGAGAGACGGAGTCTTGAACACTGTTAACACGCAATTAACAAAGCACTTAACACCGGATTATGTGGCTAAAACTCCTGGAAGGTTCATCTACCTATTCCCAGCTTCAGCTTGAATTGATGCTTAAAGTTTTAGAGTTACCTACAGCCACAATCCGAAGCGACCATACCCGGAACATCTCTCAGCACAATTGTGTTGTCAAGGTCGTAATAGAGAAGACTCATCGAGCGAAGCTCAGTGGCTACACAAGTAGCGGCGGGTATTTTTTTGCCGAGCCGATGATGGATAATGTTCTGTAAAATTGCGTGATTTGTCGGATTTGAGACCAGGCTGAGAGTACCGGGACATGTACCCTCACAGTAATGAAATCCAAATCGAGTCGGCGCAATGATCCAGCCGCTCCACTTTAAGTCGCGGAATCGAACTGCAAGTCGTCGCTTTCTACACATGATATCCTCTGAACGTTTCGTTCGGGAAAGTTTGCCATAGCTGTTCTCTGTGGCGTTACCTGTCACGACTTGTTGCCTCTTCACTGGGGGAGCGCTGAGTACTCCTTGGTTTGGATTTGGAATTTCGAGTGGCTCGTTGAAAACAACAAGGAAAGGTTTTCGCTTTCTTTTTGTGGTAATCCTGAATGCAGGATTAGTTGAAATGGCAAGGTTTAGATTTCCTGTGTGCCTTTTGACCTTTGAAAGCATAAATTGAGTCAAATTGAACACCAGCCATCTGCCTTTGATCGTCTTGTGACAATCCCGAGTTGATATTGTCTCCTTATCGCCGTCTGCAAAATTTTGTGACTCATCGCTGTAAACGATGCTAACCTTCACATTTACACCTCCTCCACAAAAAACTTGGACGTGCAGTTCAGCTTTACGCAAAATTTTATGGGAGCCGTGGCCAAGCGAAGACAGGTTGAACTGGAGAACCGAGCTGTCGGTGTCCTCATTAAGACCTGTTTGAAATCGATCATGAAAGCAAACAAACAAATTAGGACCTGCTTAGCACATATTCATCACGAAAGAGACATGTTGGCACCTCGCATGGATTTATGTTCAATCGAATTAGAGCTGTAAAGCCTTAATACGTCCGGCACCGTTACCTTGTGGGAACAGAATCCGTGTCGTAGTGCCATCTGGAATTCTTCTGCCAGAGCTAGATCGCTTCCATGTAAGCTTGCCCTTGTAAAGATTTAAGATGTAGCGCGGAATGTCATGGCGATCGCTTGAGATATTAGGAGCATGATCCATGTCCAGCATTTGAAGCAAGCCAGAGGCGAATTCCTTCTCGGCTTGGAGAGTTAAGCTTTCTGAAAAAGCCAACATCGCCAAAGATAACGCCGCAAGAACTGAAGACCACGTTTTGAACATGTTCACCGGAAATTTTATAGGCTGGCCTGAAGCATGCAACACAACGCTCGACTAATGGCACCAAGTTAAACAATCACGGCGCCCTTTAAAGGTGCTTAAAATATCAAATGAGATTGCAATTCACTTCTTATCATGTCAAAGTTATTAAATTAAATAAAAGTCAATCATGCGTGTGGCTTTAGAGCATCATTAATTCGCGATGACCAGAGAGAATGGAGTCTCGAAAGATCGAGTGAAGACGAAGAGGGTTGAAAATTGAGCACTGTTTCCTTTCAGCTAAGCTGTAAGAATTCAAAGGCCACCGCTGATAATCTAAGATCTATATTTGTTAATATCTTGGGAAAATGTCGCAAGGATCTCATTCCTTCAGCAGCTGATAACCTCCAAGTCTTCCTGAATAGTGAGATAAACGAATCATCACGTGTATTGTGATGTAATTCTTCTTCTTATCCTGACTTTCTTAGGTAGCAGGGAGATCTTGTTTTGAAGGAAGCTGTTATCAAAAAATAAAAAATAAATAAAGGGAAATAAATGCAAAACATAATTTTCATTTAAAAAAACGCGATATTGAAACTGTTAGGTTTGGTTTGTTTTGACCGTTTCCATTTGCAAAAGCAAATACAAATATTTGGATCTAAAGATATTGTTTCGCGTTACAAGTGTAATCCTGACTTGGAGAATATAATGACATGCTTTATATACCATTGTAAATTGGAAATTTGACAAAGGAAACACAGAACGATTGGGATGCTTTGTTAGAATCCGTTAATATCTGTGACCTCCAGATAAGTTGTGTTTATTTTTGCCATTTAACTGTTTGCCGCGACCACACCTCGCTGGCGGAAATCACAGAAATCAAGCTCCTATGAACTGAAAACAATCTAGGTAGGGCAACAATTCGAAGGGGAGTTTTGGATCTGTCAGGCAGAGGTGAACACTTATTTTTATCAAGTTATAGGAGTTGTGGTCAAACAAGGCATTCCGTATCACAAGGAAACGAGACGAGGAAATTCTGGCCAATGTGGAGCGTATTTCAATTGAATTTCTTAAGAGGAGAGACGGTCGCAATCAGAACAACGCAAAATATCAAACGAGACCAATAAGAAGTCAAAGAAAATTCATTTGATTCTCTGCACGCAGGGAAAAAACGAAGACCGAGTCGCGACGGGGTTGAGTCTTACCACGAAGAGAACTGCGTTGCGTACGGCATGGAAAAGGGCATGATGGCATAGTTCCGTTGTGCAATTGCGACACATTCCGAAGCTCTTCACCATAGCAAATGAATTTTTACACGCTGTCGTGTTTCTTTGGTTATTTTTTACCGGTTTCCGATCGAGTCATTTGTTAAATCTAATCCGATAAATAGAAATTTCGGCAAGCAATAAATCATGAAAAATGGTTGGCGCAAACTGAGGTTGCCCTAGATTATCTCCCTTTTTGTAACTTTAGCCGGGCGACTAAGAATATTGATTCTCTTCTCCTCCTTCTTGACGGGATACTGGTCTATTGCATGTCCCCCACAGAATCCAGGGCCGTAGCTAGCATAAAGCAAGACGAGGCAATTGCCTCGTCTTGAGTTTGGCCTTTTTTTTTGGCACCAGTATCGCTCAGCAATAAAAAAGTGAACTTCTACACTTGCCCAAGCGGACTTTTCTGAAGAAAAATGCCACGGAAAATGCTTAAAAGAGCATTTCTGAGCCTCTAAATTTCTATATCTTTTGGGGGCATGCCCAGACCTGAAACTTGTCTCGTCTTGTTCTGAAGTCTGGCTACGGCCCTGGAATCTCGTTGAGTTTCCCCGATACGAGCGAAGCGATTAGCCAGCTGACTAGCGCCTCATGGAGTCAGCAATTTTGTAGAGTTGTAGAGAAAACTGTGATAAAATAAGCAGAGCCTAAGGGAATTAGCAACCTGCAAGTTGGACATTTGATTGAAAACCATCGCAAATAACCAAGTTTGATTCCACGGTGTCTGGAGAAAAAAAACATCAATTAACGGCTGTTGGTAAGCCGATTGAGGGCTACACAATCATAAAAGGTATGCAAAGTGCGAAATTGTGGTCTTACGTTTAATGAGATGAAATCATCCGGAGAGCCTCAGAAAAAAACAATAGCATTAACTCTTCTTGATTAGTTGGCTCATATATTTGTAGAAACCTTTAGCTGTAGATCATCTGCAGGTCAATTTATCATTAATATTATTTAATTTAACCTTGATCAGATTGGTTTTAGTATCAATTAAGAACAGGAACGAACGAGTCCGATTCCCGTCAAGCCTGAATTTTTTGTCAGCCGGTTCTTTGGTTCGTTGCAACGCTCGATGGGTTTTTTTTTCAATTTGTCCGCTGGCTGGTTCTTTCCTTATTTTCGTGTACTCCTTCCAGTTCGGTTTTTCGACAGTTTTTCCGTTGGCTCGTTCCTTTCATACTCGGTTTATTCGTTTCAGTCCGGTTTTTCGACAGTTTTTCCGTCGCCTTTTTCCTTTAATACTTCGTTTATTCGTACCGCTTCGGTTTTTCGACAGTTTTTCCGTTGGCTCGTTCCTTTCATAGTTCCGGTTTACTCGTTTCAGTTCGGATTTTCGGCAGTTTTTCCGTTGGTTCGTTCCTTTCATACCTCGTTTACTCATTCCAGTTCGGCTGGTTGACAGTTTGTCCGTTGGCTCGTTCGTTTCATTCTTCTTTTAATCGTTTCAGTTCGGTTGGTCGACAGTTTGTCCGTTGGCTCGTACCTTTCCCGCCTTGTTCGGTAGTTGCAGTTCGTTCGTTCGTTCGTTCGTCACAATTGTTCGTTTCGTGGATTCTCATAGGGCGTAGGAATACTTGCAAATAACGCTTGCGTTAGGAATCCGACATGAACGAAAGCTCCAATGTTACACCGATTGCATTTGAAAATATTGATCCACCCTGCTAAACTTTCATTTTCGCTCCACCAGAGAAAGCGTATATGATTTCCTCTTTTCATTGAAATAATTGCTCTGAAACGCGAGATGGGATCAGCAGTAATGATGAAACAAAAATATAGTAAGCTATGAAAAATTAAAGGAATTATTCTTCTATCCTAACAATCAGTGAAACCTTCATCGAGCTAATCGTGAGCTGGGGTGACCTCGGAGCTTTTACAGGTTTATTCGCGTTGAGTAATAACCTTAAATAAACTGAATTTTCATCGGACCTGTAACTTCCGAGAGATTTGTTAAGCCCTGGATCCTTTCCAAAGAAATAATGGCCTACTGCGAAATAGCCAGTCGTACCTTTAAAAGATCGATAGTCCCGCAAACCTTTGTGTGACTCTTTCGAAATCTCGTCAACCTTTGTGACGAAGTCTCATATTTCTTACAACAACAACAACAACGTTTTATTCACTCAACATAATTTAATTAAATTACGATAATTCTTTGAGTTTAACAATACTGATTAAAATCATTTACTAGATGTAAAAATTGTAGTATTGAATAACAATACAGATTAAGATAATTTACTAGATGTAAAAATTGTAGTGTTAAATTGTAAGGTAGGAAGCTAGGGCAAAAGGTTTTCTTCTTAACCTGAGTGTTTGGGATGTTAAGTTTCTTACAGACGGAGGCATCGGTCAAAAGGCAGCTAGAGGAGTTTTGTGTTATTGTTTGAGATGTCTCTTTTTTTTATTTACATAACCAGAGGAGTCTTACGGCGGTTACTGATACGATGGTTTGTTCGTCAGCGGCTCCCACCCGACGGACCGATTGGTCATCAAAATATGACTCGAATTAAATGCCGTGGTTTCGGGAACTAATTGCAATTAGTCAAGATTCTTTTGACTTAAAGTTGCTATTGGAGGATTTAATGAAAAGAAAGAAATATGTCCAGTCAGCCTTGAAACGAGAACTGACGGTTCTACATCGGAAATGAAATTCAAAGAAATGTCACTAAACTCGTAGGACCGTGACGCAAATTTTAAAGCACTAAACTTTGTCATTCTCCAGAACCGATTTATTTTACTGTAAGCCTTCTGATTTAAAAGGTTTAAGATACTGATAAAGACGTTATTTTACTCCTACGTGGAAATTCCAGTTCCAATTCAATTCGCTTATACAAACTTGGATGATATGAGAAATAACGTAGGTTATGAGAATTATGACACCCTAATCCCAAGCAGCAGCTTGTGATCTAATTTACTATCAAATAAAATGAATGCCCGTCATCTGTAAGTAATAAGTGTATTTCGGCCATCTAATCATCTCTTTACCTTGCATCCAAAATATTCAAGGTTTGAAAGCTGAAATGGAGTCGTGAAATGCTCACACTACGCATTGACCCCAGCTTCACTAAATTCAGTTTACACCGTAGCACATGATCAAGTTTTATGACCGGGGAATTGAATTTATTGTTTTATAGAGTTTTTTACCTTATTAAACATAACGCAACTTTATGTTTGAAAATATTCGACCTCATTTTAGATAAATACAGCATTATCCCAGATATGTAACTAAAAACCACCCATAAACCTATCACATTTAGGCTCGAAGAGTCTTATTATCAACTGTTGTCACTTTTCTGGGGGGAATTCCCCCTTAAGATTTAATGAGTCAAACATTGAACGAAGCACCTTAATTAACACATTTCATTACGATCCCTCACCGTTCAAACTTTACCCATTTTTCACGGAATACAACCGGCCCATATTTTGATTATGCAAAGATGACAAATGCTGGAGGTCTCTTGTCTAATTTTGACCCCTCTTGTCGTAATAAACCTATGATTCCATTAACATTCAATCTTTCTACCCAAAGAAACTAAATACATTTGGCTAATGGCTATCGTAGCGTTCAGGAATTATAAACACGTCAAGAAAGCAGAGTCCCATTTATAATCGTCTTTCTCAAGTTTAATCCACCATTACTGCACTTAACAGAACTGCGGAAACGGAAAAAATGTTTGTTTTCAGTACTAGGTTTGTGTCAAGAGGTAGATACCCCTATACCTCCTCAAAGTTTATAGAATGGTTCACAATTTGCTCTCTTTGAAAACAAAAATAAACGAAAGAAACACCTAGTCTAATTAGTATTTCAAGGTTCGTCATTTGCAATGTTTTTAATCTTCTCCATTCATGACCATCCTATTTCCTTGTCAGTTTTGAGCTTACAGACGTCATGGGTGTCAATTCCTCTGTACCTCAGCCCTGGGAGAGTATACTTTCATCAGTTTTAGAACTTATTTTACGTGACGTGACGCGACACAACCCATCGGGAAGCAACTCAGTTCAAAGTTAACGTTAGCAGGTTTCCACGGAAGAGCTATGACGGTCATGTTTTTACCTTGCCTGGACTATTTTTGTCGTTCAAGGATAATAGAATCAGCGAGCTTATCATCATTTCTCCATCTCCTCCCAGCTTATGTTCAAATATCCCGTAATAGAGTTAAGCCGTTTGCGTCATTAATTTTTTTGCCGCATCAGTTATTAGATGGTTATTTATGGAATGCCGACCGTGAGCAAACTAAATACGAGCCTCGAATTTTGCCTTCATGCTAAGAAGTGTTGGCAAAATAAAGTATTACAGACAAGACTTTCTATTCAGAATACTACGACAATCATGAATCAAGCGCACAGCGCGAAGACCTGATTATAAAAGCACAATGTAAAAATAGCTCCACTGAGCAAGCTAGGACTTGCATAACCCACAAGGAACTTTTTGGCCGAATATGTCAGCTGATACGTGACTGATCGCGTCGAGAGTAACCTCATACTGAGCGAGCAAAACAACCGTTTCAGGTCTCTTGTTGAAGATCACTTTCACATTTATGATCTGTTTGTAGTTGCTTCAAACCTTCTTCAGTGGTGTGGCCATCCATTTTGCGAGTAACCCCGATAAAATGAGGATCGTACTTACCGCGTGTGTCATATGGTTTATATCGATCTTTCGCGGCGTTGAAGGTAAGCCAAGTTTCATTTCTGGTCGAATCGCATTCCACTGTTTACTTCGAACGAAAGATTGTTTTATGATTGGTTTTGCCCCTTTGAATGAGAAACCTTCCCGGACGAAGGTTCGTCAGCCCACAAGGATAGCCTTAAAACATCTTGTTAACCGTAAAACTGTTGTATTTTGATAAAAGTTGCTATGACCACTGAGGGTTTCATTGTATTGATGGGGCTGCTGCTAGCCACACGTAAGCTGTCGTGCGACGTTTCTGTGTTGGTGGTATACATCATAGCTTGTTGTGGTATTTATATTCCTCCCCATGCAACGCTCTTTGTCAGAGTATTTTAGTAGGATTTTTTTCAGTGATAGTCCTGGGATTTATTATTTTATAAAAATGCGAAATGAAATCATCAAATTTTAAACTGCTCTTTTATATTTCCCTTTTTTCGTGTAAGCTGCATAGGAAACAAGAGACGCTAATGTATAAAGGATGTCTGTGTTAAAATAGTAACGAAAGCTGTTAATATCCTAATATTTCAAATCGTAAAATAGGAAGTTTTAAAGCGAGGGAAGCCAAATAAACTTACAAAGTTAAGGCTAAACCATGTATCCGCACCAATCAAATTTAGTCCACTTATGTCCCCGGCCATGCTGCAATTTCTAGTTGCAATTTCTATACAGTACAATCTGTGAGATAGCTCTCTGCATTAAAGGTCAAGTGTTGAAACTGACTGATACTTGAATTATTTGTTTTGTTTAGCAACACGTAAGGAATTTTATATTACTTATTACCCCCTGAACGTTGTCTGATAACTGTTTTTTAATTTGGTTTCACATGGTTTATGTTTGGACAGAACCCCTGTGAGACTGAAATGAAAGGACGAATTATGGAATTTTTCTTTTTTTTTGTAATTATTTTTCTTTTGTGTGATCGGCTTGTAACTCCTTCGACAATTCAGATCAAAAGGGAAAGAAACGTTAGATTCAAGGGAATTTTTCCCTACAAATTTGAATTTTTTGTTGAACTTGGCAAGTGCCGTTGTCAGATTTCTGAGATCCCTGTCAGTGTATGCTGCGACTTCTGTACAATATACCACGCATATGTACATCGATATTGTTTCGTCTCGAACATCTGAGCTTAGTTGCAAACAAAGGCCGTATACCTTGCGTGGTGTGTTAAATGCTAATTTGGCTCTTTCCTTTGAAAGGTGAGTGCAATGCCGTTCTGGGAATGCAAAATAAGGCAATTCCGGACAGCAGCATCACAGCATCCTCGCATTTAAGTCTAAACCATGTCCCTTCCCTTGCACGACTGGACAATGCGCAAGGGGCTTGGTGCTCGGCTACTACCGACAATCTGCCTTACGTAGAAATACTGCTGGGCTAGGAAAAGTTTCTTACTTCGATTAAGACACAAGGAAGCAGAAAGGAATTAATATGGGCAGGGAAGTACGAAATTCACGACTTTAAGGATGGAAAATGGATCGTCTACAGGAAAAATGACGGAACGACGGTTAGTAACAAATAAACAAACGAACCCTGTGTATCATTCCACCCACATCCGAATATCGGCATTCTGCTCATACAATGAATTGCACGCACAATGTATTATGTAAGAAGAGGCACGTAGAACGTCTCCTGTACCAAAACTTTACTATTCATAAGTTACCATAACGTTTTAAAACCCCTTACCCCCTCCCTCCCCCGCCCCCCAACCTGAGTAACTACGCTTGGAGAAACCATAGAAAGGGCGGGAAGAATCGGTTTGTAATATGAAAAACAAGATTATTCTGCCCCGAAACCTATTTGTTACTACACTTTTAAAAAAATTAAGAAAAGGAGCGGGGTGGACTGAGAGATTAACACCAGTAACAACTAATAAATTGTGTTACATTTTTTTTTAAGCAATCATGATAATTTGGTAGATTTTATACATTGAGAAAATTGTTAATTTTTAATCTTACCGTTCAACACACAGGCACTTGATGGAAATGGAGGAATATCCTCCCTACATAAGATTCCGCTCCAACCTCAAATTAGAACCCGTTCGATCCGTATTTTTCCCAAGAGTACTCATTCTTTGAATGGCAATGCGTCTCTGACAAATGTTGCCTGTCTGCGACTGGAATTATACGGATGCTCTGCCCCAGGTTAGTTACCAAATTTGAACTTGTCTTTCCAATTAAGTCAATGAGTGATTTTAACTAAGAAGAAACAATGACGATTTAAGGACAAAGGGGATCAACAAGTATTGTAAATTACGAAATTGTGGAACTTACAAACTTTTCACGATCGATGCACAAATCTTGACCGGGTGGTATGTAACTCCTTTCAAGATGAATTCTACGTTTATTGTCTTAATCTGGTGCTTTAAAAGGCAATTGACCAGCTAATTTGTCCACTAGTTATTTTTAGTTGAGGTGCATTTTCTGTCTTCTTAGATCATTCTCCTGTCAGTAATGTCATGATCTTTGAGCTTCTAAGGTTTTTTTTTTTCTCCAGTTGATGGGTCGTGGAGCGCGTGGGGTCCCTGGTCGACATGCAGTGTGACCTGTGGACTTGGAAAGCGCTTACGTGAACGGTTTTGCGACTCGCCAGTACCTAGTAACGGTGGCGCTCCGTGCAACGAGAGTGAAAGAACTGAACAGGAACATTGCAGATTACAAAAGTGCATTAAGCCTGGTAAGTCAAGATTGATCACATGTGAAATTTTATTTCCAATGTTATTGACTTCTGTACTAACTAAGGGAAAAAGGACTAAGGTGTATTGTGATTACTACTGCCGTGACGTAGTTGCTGGCAAACCTTAAGACAAGAAGGGCGACTTGCCATAAATTTACTCTGCTGGGTAGTTATGGTCAACGTGAACAATAATAAGATAGAAGTAGTATGCCTGACAAGCCGTCTATCATTTTCGTTTTTAAGGTAGTACATATAAATATATACAGGTTCCTTATGGAGCGAGAAGCCGTGTTGAGATACTGATCATGGCCATATGAGAAGATTCATTAAATAATATATACATATTTAGTCAAACTGAACTCCTCGTGTTATTTTTTCGTTGTCTTTCTTTTATATTTTCTTTTCTTCTTTTTTTTTTTTTTTTTTTTTTTTATCGCACTTCCGACCGATGTAGTTAAGCCCTGTTGGAGAAGGCCCAACCCTTTAAAAGTCTCCGTATTGTGAAGATTTCTCTTTTCAAATGTAATGAAACCCTACTTTGACGAAGAATCAAGGTTTCGTCGCGCTTCATAAAAAGGTGTGAAATTATGATATCTTTCCTAATTCAGTATGCTGTTTTATCTCAAAGCTGTCGACGGAGCCTGGGGTAAATGGGGTCCTTGGTCAGCGTGTAGTTTAACATGTGGAATTGGATTGCGATCACGTGAAAGGAAATGTGATTCACCTGAACCGAGGAATGGTGGAGTGCCGTGTAACAGAGCAGAGAGAATGCAACAGAGATTCTGTAGAGTAGCCAGATGCGGAGTAACACAAGGTTTGCCAAGTCTCACTGGTTTGATAATCGATTTAAGAACTCAATTTAGAGCGTATCTTGCTGTTGGTTACTTAGGTTTTGGACTGACTTGCTGACTTAATGACTGACTTACTGACCTTTCTGACTGAGAAGCTGACAGATTGATTACGAATCAACTGTCTTCTCAAGTGGCTTGCTGACTGACGGTCTGATCGACTGCGAGAGTTGGTCTAATCGAAACGGACTGACTGATATAACTGTTTTCCCATCACTTGTACTCAGGCCCTCTCTGAGGGAGACTACATGTTGTGTTCTGTTTGCAATCAAGACCCTCGTGGTCGACTGAGATATACAAACTGTGTTTATTACGTTATCAAGCGCTGCCTGTCTTGTCTGTGCCAGCTGACATAACCAGCCGAAAAAGTTGCGCGGAATTTTGATTTCTCTGGCCCTTTTCATGGCTTAGATTGGTGTTCTGTAATCGATTTCTTGAAATATGCGAGTACAAGAGGTTATAGTTTATATTTTGGCGGGAATCATCGTTCATTTTTTTTGTACCCCTTGCAGGCAATGATTTGGGATTTTCCGGCTCGGGTTATGGCTGGGAAACTTCTCCAGATACCTTAGGATCTGGCGAGGATAAAGATGGTTGGACGGTATACTACGGTAAAAAGAAACAACACCAGGGATTCAGCGATGACGAGGACTTGGCGTTGAAGTCAAGACCTCTCGGTTAAGTCTTCAGTACGAACTTGGAAGTGTGGAAGCAGCTTAACTGTTCAGAACAGACAATAACATCTAACTTTTAGACCTTCAGCTTGTACCAAAAGCACTAAAACCTGTTTTATTCAATCGTTTTTAGAGGATTTTCAGTCTTAAATAGCTTTTCGCGGTATCTAGAAGCTGTTTCTTCGCTAAAAACCAAGACACTTGATGTTAAAGTTTGACAATTGCGAATCTGTTCGAACAAGACAAGTCCTATCTGCAGCGGTTATTACATCCTAATGAAACGGGCTTCAAAAGCTTATTACGAGAGAAGCTCAGTAAAGGGTTTCTGAATGAGGCCGTTAAATTTTGTGGGCTTCGTTCAGTATTCTTGTGCAAAAAATAAAATATTTCATAACTGATCTGTAAAATTTAAGATCATTTATGATCACCTAGCAGTCATTATGGGTGTATTCAGTACCATAATCTGCACTGCCAAATATCCTTGGGACTCCTTAGTGAACATGATACGACCTAAGTAGTGCAGCCGTAGAAATGCAGTAAGTGGCTTGAGTATAGTGAGCCATTCATTCGAGTATGTTAACTGTACTTCTTTGAGCTTAATCATTATTAAAATGTTTTCTCTTCTTTCCTGCAAGAGTCTGGTCGGTTCATTTAGTCTTAAAATGATTGATAATTCGCCTTTTTTGTGGAGAATTATCCCACCATCAAATATGTAATCTTTCTCAGAGCCCATGAGCTCTCTAGACTTTTCCTTCAAGATGTTCCTATCACTCTCCTTTAATCTCAAAATTTTACTGTAAAATATCCTCTCTCTTGTCTCCGTGGCAAATTTGCCCAAATTAGGTGGAGAACCTCTCTACCTCGAGCATGCTCCATTTCTTTCTCAACACTTCGAACCCACACTATTTGAGTGGTATCAGTTGGAAGTTTCCCTTTTCTAAGCGAAAGAGCGACGGCATTTTACCGCCTATTGTCACAGAGAACACATTTTTAAACTTCCAGGACTGATGACCAGTCGCTGAAAGGGTAAGGAGCCCGAGTGGGGTCAAGGCAGTTCGTACACCTTTTCATCATAGAATGCAGCAAAAAATACCACAAGATCCAAAATATTTTCAACGATTGAATCACATGTAACTACTTAGTATGGAGTATCTAACATTTACTTGCCTTGAAATAATTCTTTGATTATTTAGGCTCCAGTGCATATAAAAATTGTCGCGTTTTGTGAATCAAAGCTCGAACCCGCCTTACCTCCACCCCGGCTTTCGATGGCACTCTTCTCACAGTGGAACGGAGGCTCGATGTAAATCTAGCCTGCTCGGCTTTTCTCTTCTTTCTCTTGCCGTTAATGCCTAATTCTTCTTTTCCTTTCGAAAAAAGGGAATTGTATCGCCGGTTAATGTAACAAAAGTGACAGATACAAAAGATTGCGTGACGTGTCCCAAGGGAGAAGACGGCAAATTGATGACTGGGTGACAATATTGTGGGCCGAGAAACTCGAGAACCACCAATTCACTGTAATAATAGTTCTCAATACTCCATTTCCGGTCCGGTTTCAGATTTTTAGTTCATTGCCAAGAACAAGTCACCACTCGGTCTTTTGGCAAGGCCGTTGACGAAACTGGTCAATGTCTCTTTTGTAAAAAATGAGAATTCTGTGTATTTCATGCCTGCTATGGACTATTCTTTTCACACGTCAAGTTAAAGGTGAGTTTACTTTAGCGTCCATTGCGAGTGAATTTTGAGACAACGTTCTGTCTTAAACGCGGACGTCGTAAAAATTGATTTTCGATGGCGCATATACATATCTTATGAAAGTCACTTCTTTCTAAGCCTCATTATACACGTTTTGCGTTAGTTCAGAAGCGAGTTATAGACTCAAGAATCTCTCAAATCCTCTCCGTTATAATACGCAGATCAGCGATAAGCTTTTATTGCAATTCAACGCAACACGGTACTTAAATTGAAACGGTATACTGATTATTATCGATTAGATGAGCATTTGTGGATGATAAAGATGTGATCCCGTGCAGTTACCCAAAGGAAATTTCGGTAGATTCACGGGTGATTCTTGAACATAGTTTCAATGTGTATTTCACAAACAGGAAGTCTCCCTGCCATGAGCCGAAGAGGCAGTCACGGCGAGCAATCTACTCTTCTTCTTCAAAGCAAACAAATTAACCCTTGCACGCGAAGAGTCATGTAAATAAAATTGTGCAGTCGCACCTAACAGCGTGTATTGTGGATCATCTTTACAGGAGAAAATTTTGCCTTCTATATTAGGAACGAGTGATTGCTTGTTTACTCGTAAAATTAAGGATTGATATCACATTTGTTTTCAGGAGTTGCAGAAAACACGCGCGAAATTAATCCTGAATTTTACTCAGCCCCATGCGATCGATATGTTCTTATTGACTTCGTGAACGGGCCGAACGGGAAAATATTTGGCTCGAGGTCAGGACGTACAGTCCGAGCACAGCGAGGTCCGTGCATCTTGAACGAGTGCCAAGCATTTTCCCGTCCGACACGACGTAACTCAGTCAATAAGCATTTTATCACATTACCACTGATAAAGTTTTTAAAAAGTCGAAAAGTTTGTTTTAACTTGAACAGGACGCGATAGTCTGGCACGCGCGGAAAAACCACGAAAAAGATTCTACAATCAAAACCTTCCTTTATTTTTTGGAGTTAGAACAAGACACTTAAATTAATCGAGAAACATGACTTCTCTATTTCATTTTTGTTCATTGCTGCCACTCGTTTTTTGCGACAACAACAAACGAGTGCTGTAGGGGTGGTAGTTTGGAAAATATAGAATGCCCGAGTTCGGAACCGGAACCGGAATACTTGGAATTCCCGGAATGACCGAAAAATAACAAATTAAAAAAAAGATAAAAGTAAATAAATAAATAAATAATAACATTGATGATGAAAAATTAATGGTAAATTCATAACTTAATTAAATAATTTAAAACGAAAATTTTCTCTGAGGATCCCGAAAAAAAAAACCACTTACCGGCACTGTTCATGGAGATGCACGTATTAGAATTAAAAAAGTCTGCGTCAGGCCAGTAGCCCATACAGCCTAAGCGCCGACATATTTCTACTTTCTTTTCCCCCTAGATGGGGTGCTAGTCCATCACATGGTTACTCCCCGTTTTAAATTCGCCTCCACCCATTTACACACCTATAGGATGTCTAGCCAGGGCATCATGACCATTAGGCCGCCACGCTTTTCCAGCCGGAACCATTGCAATAGGTTAAACAAATGCAATATTTCCAATTAGTTTAAAAATCTCCGAACTATTACAAATTAATACTCTACCTTAAATAATTATTAACCACACACTGGAGCTATCAAAGCAGCTACCAATAAGACCAGCCGTCTACAGTTAAAATTGAGAGATCGTCAGTTACTCGACACCTTTTCGCGTCTATTATAAATACCTTGAATATATACCTTTAAATATAGATCTTGTACTGATGGATTCTTCTAAACAAGGTTTATATTCAAAGGTATATATTCAAGGTATTTATAATAGACGCGAAAAGGTGTCGAGTAACTGACGATCTCTCAATTTTAACTGTAGACGGCTGGTCTTAATGGTAGCTGCTTTGATAGCTCCCAATGTGTGGTTAATAATTATTTANAAAATTAATCAACATATATATATATATTTTAGGCTTCTTTTCTGCGGTTTCTAAAGTTGCAGCTCACCTGCGAAGATCGTGTTTTTTTTTCTTTTTTTCAATTTTAATCCACAGGTCAAAAGAAATTTGAGTTTGACTAATGGTCGTGGGTCGTGGGTCGTGGGTACAAGTCGTGGGTCGCGGGAGTGGGTGTGGGTAAAAGTCGTGGGTGTGATTAATACAAAATAATAACAATAATCATTTAAAATATTAGTTATAATAATACATAAATATTATACAACCCTTATCTTTGCAGTAAATGGCTTGAAGATCGTACAACCCTTATCATTGTATCAGCTTGGTTTAGTGAGCCTAATATTTCATTGATTTCATCCAACAGAATTAATTCTTTTCACCCAAAAAGAAAAGTTAAACTAAAGACAAAGCCATTATATGCAGGATGATGTAATCTCTAATTAAAATGAGGGTCATTCCAAAGAGTTTGAGGAGTTTTGTTCAGGTCAAACGCTTGATCAACACACAAAAAATAATCTTACATTGAAAAGAGAGAAGTGTTAATCTTAAAAGAGCAACGTTTTCAATTTCAGAACATGAAAGAAGCTTTGATATAAAACGAGGATCAGAAACACGGCTATTGGCCGTGTTTTTTTTTTAATTAAAATTAAATTGTGCTCTCAGTGCCGGTTAAAAATAAATGAAGTTTCAAAAGTAAAAGTAACAGTATATCCCTCTGCTAGTTAGGGAAAGTAAAGCTTGTGTTGATCAATGACATTCAGACAAAGAACCGAATGCTTCATCAATTGTCATCTCTGTATCGCATACCATCTACCCAGCAACTAAAAAAAAACAATGAAGTGAAACAGCGAACTGTTGCAAGATAAGCCGATATATAGATAGCAACGTTGCAACGTTAGTTGCAGGTCTGGATATGTTGGCTCCAAGGTTTTTCTAAGGCTCGAAAACATAAAACCTCTGGTATCCAGTGTGCGGTATATAATCGACAACCGGAAATCGCACGCCAATGTTAAATTGGTCACGACAACTGGCATCGGTAACATTAAACAAAGAACCATGTACAATCTTTCTTCGTCCATTTAACTAGCCAGGTCGTTTTCTAAATCATAAAATAAACTAGATATGAAGAATTATTGAAATAACTAAATTAATAAATAAAGAAGTTCTAATAGTTTCAATTTTTAAACGATTCATTTCTTATCTGACAAAGACCAGACTCGGCAGAGTTGCCGAAAATGTGACGTACTCGAGAAACATACGTTTCATTGTTCGTCGAGAAGTATTGCATTACTTCACGGTAGCTAATGACAATCATGTTTCACGTCTTGTTTTGAAACGCTTACAGGATAAATTTTTAGAGAAGAAGAATAACAACAGTTCAAGTCACGTTTCGTGAAAAAAGCTAGTCATTTCGCAATTTCCATGAAGAAAAGGCGATTCAACGTTCACGGCAATATAACCAAATCACGTTTAACGAGAGAAAAAACAAGCCAAAGGGTCCCTCGCGATCACGAAAAAACCCTTTTCCCCTACAAAAATAACAGTAATTTATTATTAGTAGTGGTGCTATTATATGAGCTCTTAACCATTAATTAATCTGTATTACCCACACCCACGACTTTTACCCACACCCACGACCCACGACTTGTACCCACGACCCACGACCATTAGTCAAACTCAAGAAATTTATGTTATTATAAATGGTATCAGGTTCCTTTACGGGAAAGAAAAACTTCTCTCTAAGAAGTACCTCACTCTAAACGTGTGGCCTCATTGCTCAGTTGGTTGTACCACTCAAAATTTTGAGGTTTCTTTTCTGCAATTGATAAAATTGCAGTTTACCTGAAAGGACCATCGCTTTGATGTAAAAGTGTTGTTGCCGCCAAAAAAGCGCCTTGTATAAATAATTCGCAATTTTTTCCTTTTGTCACATCTTTGTTTAGTCCTTTTGTTCTACATGCAAGACTTTCATCATATTCTGTTACTTTTTTCTGCATAATTTTTGTCTGTTCAAATCCCTCGCACACTTTTTTTACCGTTGATCTCATTTACTCGGATCCTTCGTTCAAACCGTTCAAATGTCTTCGCCGTTTACTTTCACATCGTTTTCAACATGACGATTTATGGTTTGTAAGTGTCCTCATTGGAAAGGGTACCATATAACCCCATACATTAATTATGCATTCCACTTCTTTGTCTTTCACGACAAAACTTTAAAAACAAAGTCTACCAGTCTGAATGCATAATTAATGTATGGGGTTACATGGTACTCTTGCCTGTATCTGTTTACGAAATGTTGTGATCGCTTCAATTCGATTGACCTTGCTTCAATTCGCTTAACTTCACTTCGCTTCGTTTCCTTTTCATTTTCTCTTGAAATTGAATCCAAGAACGCGTAGGGCAAGATTTCCATATAACCCCATACATTAATTATGCCTAGAGTGTTGCAAAGAAACCTTTATATTAAGTCTTTATAAAATGGAATGCATAATTAATGTATGGGGTTATATGGAGATCTTTCCACGCGTTGGACATGTTATTATTAACGAGTGTTTGGCTTCTTTAGTATTTAGTCTAAACAAAGCAGAGTTACAAACTTTAACGTGAGCGCGTTGAAGTTCTGCACCGAGAACCTTGATTTGATTCGCGCAAAATCTTAAAGGTTGTGCAGTGGAGAAAGACGTAGCTTTGTATGGAATTTGGTAAAGTTTTGCCTTACGTAGGATCATACCACAAGAAAGTGATGTTCATTGAGCTACTATCCGGCATCAGCGACTTGTATACACTCCTGAACGTTTTATCCATATATCACCCTTAACGTGAGAAGTACCTATTACTGATTACCCTCGGAAACCAAGCAACTGAGAGACAAAATTAATCAACAAGGGCTGGAACGAATGGACTATCCAAACTACCCTCTTAAAATCAAATTCCAATTGTTACAAGAAACCTCAAATGTTTTGAGTCACTTCACTATTTATCTTTATAACATAACCAAAGTAAAGCGCGCGCTCTGATTGGTCAATTTAGCGTCCCCCATTTGCCCATGGGTGTACGCTGCTGACGTGAGAAAATGCAAAGACTATTTTTCCGCGCGCGCTTGTTTTTTCTGGT